CATCCCTTCCCACGGTGTCACTGACCAGTTGCCATGGATGAGGCCGGAGCTTTGCCGCCTCCATCTCTGTTACCAGACGTGCCCATTTTACAGAGGAGGAAACTGAGGCCGAGAGAGAGCAATGATCTCTCGCCATTTCGTCGCACTTAACTAGGAGATGTGAGCACAGATGTGCTGGAGGCTCCCTGGTGGGGGGGATGGCGGGAAGGGACACCTCCCCGAACTGCACTTCCCTGCACTTCCCTGCTTTTGCTTCGCTCTTCACTTTGAGTTTACTTCACTGTTACTTTACCTTTATCTGGCCTTCAACTTTTACTTCTTTTGACTTTGCTTTGCTGTATTGATTGGGAGGGGGCAGTACGAGAGGGGAACACGGGCAGAAGTGCTCCCAGCAGCCCTCAAGTAACAGAACTTAGCAACACCGGGCCCCGCGAACAGCCGGGGGGCAGGGGGCTGCAGAAACGTCTTCCTCCGGCCAACGGACGCCACTTGGTGAGGCCAGGGCAGCAAGCTGGGGTCCGGAGCAGGGACCACCAGGAAGCAAGGGGGCTTCTCACCCCACAGAGCACATGAGCCTCCCTCCCGCCCTGACCAGAGCACCAGGGAACGGAGGGCCCTTAGAAGACTCTCCACGGGGCAGACTGCAGCCCCCACCTCTGTCACCCCCCCAGCTCAGTCTCCGCCTGGGGCACACGCGCTCACACTCAGCGTCCGTTCTTGAATACGCCTCCCTGGAGGCTCAGAAAATGGCACTCCTGGGGCTCTCGCAGCACACTGAGCCGCCCTGCTTAGGCCTCTGAAACGGCCCCTCACTCCGATGCCCTGACCCTGCCCAGGCCACGGGGAAGAGGCCAGGTGTCCCTGGCAACCTGCAGGCTTGGAGTCTCCTCTCTCCCCGTTTCTTTTTTAAACTACTTAGCATCCCCTCTCATCTTAGGCCTCTGAACCCCATCACGGGGCACCTCAGGCCTCCATCCCTCTCGACTGCACCAAGCCCTCACTTCACTGGTGCGCTGGTAGCCCCTTCAAAGCGGCTAACGCTCCAGTGAAAGAAACATCACAGCTCCGAGACACTGGCCTCCCTGACAGCTCACACAGGACGGCAACGAGCCTCCACGTGGGCCGAAGCGCCTCCTCTCCCACCTCCCTGTCAGGGGCTCCGGCCTTGGGTCTGGTCGGCCTGCGCTCGCTTGGGCCAGGTTTAGGGAGCTCTGGAACTCATTAACGGGCGCCGACAACAAGACCATCAGGAAAACCCGAGTGTTGCCTGTCTGGGTAGACCAGAAACCACATTTACACCTGACAAGTGGAGTGATCACAGAGCTTAAACCCAACAGGCGACATCAGCTGGGGCGTGCCAAGGCATTAATAATTAATTCTGCGGGCCATTCTGAGGTTTTCATTTTAATCACTTGGCAGGAGAATTTGTATGAGTTGTGCTCCAAAAGAAATTAAGGCATTTTTCAATTAACCACCTCCCCAAGTTGGCAAAACCTTTCCCCACCCTGTTCTGACCTCCCTTTAGACATGGGGAGGACAGAGTGGTTCCCAGAGGTTCCCAGGAAGGGGAGGGGAGGGAGACAGAGGGGGAGGGGGGAGGAGGCCCACTCCAGTGCTCACCGTAATCATTGTCTCGTTGCAGATGCTCAATCATGAATGTGATGGGGTCCTTGGGCTGCTGGATCAGGAGCTGCTCCAGCATGTTCTGTGGACACAGGGCAGACACCCAGGTGGTTAGCACCTGCATGAGCACCCAAGGCCCCAGGCTCAGGTGGCCCAGCACCCTGGTATCGCAGTGGACACCAGTTACGGGGCCTGATCTCCCCCCTGCCCCCACCCTAGCTGGCATCTGTTTGGGTCCCTGTGAGCAGAGGCGTGAGGGAGGGGCCGTGTGGGCTTTGCTGGGGAGGCACCCGGACGGAGGCGGAGCTGGAGGGATGGAGCGCCTGACTCAGAGCAGGCAGTCTCGGGGCCCTCGCCCCTCACTTCCTTGGTGACTCCCAGACCAGCCTCCTCTCGGTTTCTCTCCCGCGCTGCACCCGTTCACCCCTCAGAGCCCTAGCAAATGCTGTTCCTTCATCTTGGAACACTTTTCCTCAGGCCTCAATGGAAACATACCTTCCCGATGATACTCACTAGGTCAATCCTGTCCTATGTCCCTGCAGCCCCCGTGCATCCCCTTTATCGCCTCCCCCTTGTCCCAGTGCCCGGCACAATCCCAGTAGGTGCCCCACGCGGACGTCTGCTGGGGGACGTGGCCATCGCTGCTACCTGTGTCCCTCCAGAGTGGAACAGATATCTAAAAGAGTCCTGGGATTGTCTGGTTATTTAACTCTAAGGGAAAGCAGCTTCCACGGTTCCAGAACAAAAGGCTCAGAAATTAACCAGGTGGCTGACAGCAGCCGGGCTGGTGCACTGAGGAGCAGCCTTATGCCCTAGGGACAAGCAGGGAGGGGCTGTAGCCCTTTGTGGGCAGAGGGAGAGCAGGGCAGTAAAAAACAGCATGAACCATGAGAAGTCCTAGCCCCACTCCGCTTCTCACCATCAACACCCTTCCCTTCTCTGGGCCTCAGGTTCCCTGCCCATTAAAAGGCACAGTTGGACGAGATCCCTAGCCATGTATCACTGGTGAGACGGTGTGAGATGATTTTAGATGGTTCTCAGATGAATATTTTAAATTTCACTCGGACACAGTTGCATATCTAACGTGCATTAGAAAAATCAGTATGTTGGGCTTCCCTGGTGGCGCAGTGGTTGGGAGTCTGCCTGCCAATGCAGGGGACACGGGTTCGGGCCCTGGTCTGGGAGGATCCCAGATGCCGCGGAGCAGCTAAGCCCGTGAGCCACAACTACTGAGCTTGTGCTCTGCAACGGGAGAGGCCGTGACAGTGAGAGGCCCGCGCACCGCGATGAAGAGTATCCCCCGCTAGCCGCAACTGGAGAAAGCCCTCGCACAGAAACGAAGACCCAACACAGCCAAAAATAAATAAATAATAAAATAAATAAATAATCTGGTTTATACTTAAAAAAAAAATTCAACTTGATGGCAATACACTCTGAAGAGTAACTTTAAAAAAAAAATCAGTATGTCAAACCTATGATTTCAAGGATATTGCTCAGGATGAGGTGAAAGAAGTTAATATTTTTAAAGTGGGTTGATTTAAAGAAATGATTAAGTTAAAATGGAAATCTGGTTTTGGTTATATGAATCTATACCTGTGATAATATTTCATAGACTCATACCCAAAAAATGAGTGCTGGTAAAAATGGATGAAATCCAAATAAGGTCTGTAGTCTAGTTAATAGTATTGTACCAATGTCAATTTCCTGATTTTGACAATGTACTACAGCTACCTTAGATGTTACTACTAGGGGAAGCTGGATCAAGGGTACACCAGAACTCTGTACTATTTTTGTAACTTCCTGTGGGTCTAAAATTATTTTAAAATAAAAACATTGGGAATTCCCTGGCAGTCTGGTGGTTAGGACTCAGTGCTTTCACTGCTGTTGCCCAGGTTCAATCCCTGGTCAGGGAACTAAGATCCCACAGCCTCGCTGCACAGCAAAAAAAAAAAAAAAAAAAAGCCAGAAAATGGAAATGGTAAAAACCATGGAGGGAGCACACAAATGACTAAGGACTGGAACTACTGGACCAAAAGCTTCCTCAGGCTGCTCCTTCCAACAATTGCTATGAGATACACCAGATTCTCTAGAGCACAGCACAGTGCTCCCAGGAGTTGCCCCATCCTGCCCACCACCCGGTGACTTAGGACTCAGCTAGCCATCTTCTTTACTTAGATTGGCCACTCAGTTTTAGAAATCTCTCGTGTGCCCTCTATCAGTTAACACTTTCCAAAGGAAGCCTGTGTTTGCTGGAGAGATGCAGACTCAGATTTCCTAGTCTGAGTTCTTCTCTCAGAGCTGTCAGAGGCTCAAATGGCCACTGGCATCACTAAGGAGGTGCCCCTGGGGACGGGGTGTACCCGGAGGAGCAGACAAATGCTCCAGCTTCCCTTTGGCCCTCAGAACCTCGGAGTGGCTGACAGTTCCTCCAGTCCGGCTCCTGAAAGCCTTTACTTCCACGAGATGCAGAAGGGAAACCTGGAGCACATGCAGGGGCACGGCTTTGCCTAAGGTCACACAAGGAGTAGGTAGGTCAGGTCAGGAACTCAGGATGAGGGCTTGGGAGGTGCCCTGAACTCTTGGCCCTGAGGAGGAAGGGCCAGGTAGGAAATGCTGCTGTCCAAACCACAGGGCTGCTGTCCCAGGAGGTGGCCCTCTCAGAGGACGGAGAGGGCCACCTTCAACGCAGACACTCCCCAGCTCAGAAACCAACACTGCAGACGGCCTGGGAATTGTCAGCACCAGATGAGCCCCTTGGAAACCACCTCTTGCAACCTGGCGTCTCACTGATGGGGGAACTGAGAAAAGGAAGGGACCTCTTCCAGATCATGGACTTGACTGGGGCGGGGCCAGGACCAAATCATGGCCAGCATGGCCTGCCCCCTTTCCTCCCTCCAGGGAGGGTCAGGGAGCATCTTTTGGTCGAGCGGTCCCTTGGGATACGATGGCACAGGAGTCGAACAACCCAATTTGGGCGTCCTCTTGGGTAACAAACGTGACCCCTCCCTGATGCGGCGTCGCCGGCGCGCAGCCGGACCGCAGCAAAAGGTTCCCCGGCCACCGCCTGGTGTCGCGACAGGGCAGGGCTGCCCGGGTCACCTGCATTAACTCGAAGACGTGGTTCGCCTCCCCATACTGGGGCATTTCCGGGGGTATGCGGTGCGGGGCCGTGGTCGCGTCCATATCGCCGTACAACGCGTCCGCTCCCTGGTGACCGCTGTCGCTAGGGCCTCGCGTCATCAGCGCGCGCCGCTCCCTGGTGACCGCCGTCGCCAGGGGTGCCGCGCCGTTGCGTCATCAGCACGCGTCGTGCCCGCCCACCGGCGAGGCTGGAGGCTGGAGGCTGGAGCCTGGCCCGGGCACCCGCTCGTCCTCCGGCGCGCTCAGCCGCCTGGGGCAAGTGCTTCCCTGCCCTGGCCTCGTCCGCGCCCCTCTGCGCGCCCCCAGCGGGGCACCTCAAGTCTCCTCCAGCTGTGGCCTTCTGGGGTCAGAGGTGTCCCCTGATAGGGCCCCCCTGTGCTGAGAGACCCCAGTTAGGAGCTCCTTGAGCCACCCCGGCTCTGCTCTCAGGGCCTCAGTTTCCCCATCTTTAAAATGAAGACGCTGAGTAGATGTGGGGCAGGGTGCTTGAAAAAGGAGGGGCGGGAGGGTCGAGGGTCCCGTCGGAAACCCTCAGCCCAGCTTGCACCTTCTGAGCCCACTTGCTCCCGGGGCGGGGCGGGGCTGCCCCGTGACCCGATTGCTATGGCACCGGCGGTAACAGTCTGGCCCACGGCCCCGCCCCTTCTCACCTCAGATTTCCCCACCCCACCCACCCCTTCTCCCAAGCCCTGGGAAGGGCCTCCCCGCCCCTCCCGGGCCCCAGATACACACGGAGACACTCCAGCTTCAGGGTGCTCTGTGAGTGAAGGCCGCTCTAGGACAAGCAAGGTTAAAGCAGGCCCGGGGAGGGCCCACCGGGGAGGGCCCACCCAAGCCCTGGATTTGGAAACTGGAGGGTGAGGGGGTTGGAGAATGGAGGGGGCCGCCGCTGCTGCCGCTGCCCTGAGAGAGAGAGTTGGGGTGGGACGCGGAGGGGGGAAGGAAGTCTGCGAATCGTGTTAATCCCCGGTGGGCAGCCTGGTATCTGACGCGGCACTGAATTGGGAGCTCTAGCTCTCGTCCGTTGCTATTCTTAGGAGGAGCTACCGTAATGTGAGCATTATGGAGCGGGAGTATGGCATAGTCAATACAGATTGCCCGGAGTTCAAATCCTGGCTCCGCCCTTACTAGCCGTGCCAGCCTGCTCTGTACCTCACTTTCCTCCCCTATTAAGTGGGGATTATGGAAGGTTTCCATGAACTAATATGTCAGAAGTATTAGTAACTGGTGTGTAGTAAGTGCACAATGCATAGGGGCTACTATTAGTAATATATCCCATTTAATCTTTGCGCCAACCCTGAGAAATAGGTACCTTCATTCCCATTTTACGGGTGAGAAATTGGAGGCTCAGAACGGTAAAAATTTGTTAGCTGAGCCATTTCCCTTTTCTGGACCTCTTTCCTCATCAGCTGTTGATCATGGAGCGTTAGAATCAGAAGAGCCCTTGAAAAGCCTCTAATCCAAACTCCCTCATTTTACAGATGGATAAACTGAGGCCTGGAAAGGGGGAAATTCTAGGCCAAGATCACTTGTTAAAGGTAGAGCCAGGCTGGAACTACGCGTCCTGACTCCTAGGCAAAGCCTTTTCCAGCAGCTACCAGCCTGGAGACATGCCCTCCAAGGGGAAGAGGCTCACTCCCCCTCAGAACTGCCTTCTCAGAGCACATACACACTTTGGTAGGCTTGTCAAATTCAACTGCAAAGACAGCTGGGGAAGAAAAGGAAGCTGCCTCACCCTGAACAAAGAACACAACCACCAAGCCTGCAATTTGCACTGGAGAGGTTCAGTTTGCTTCCTGGACATTTCCGAAATGACTTGCCTTCCTCCTCATTTATTTTAAGCCCTAGGCACTTTTCATACCACGATTTAATCTTCTTTAGCAGCCTGAAAAAATACAAATCAATTAAAGCCTAAAACCTATGGGATAATCAGTTTTTTCCTTCCTCCTCCCCCAGATCAAGAAGTGCCTGCACCCTGCGCCTTTCATCCAGACTAATCTGGCTGCAGTGACGCTTGTTCAAGGGACGATCACTTTGCATAGCTAATTACAGCTCCTCTCACAATACTCCTGGTGCGCATGTCACAAGTCGATAGGATCAAGAACCAAGTCGGTTTTGCTCTCAGGGGCTCTTGGGGCCACCAGTCAAGGTAGGGCTGCTGTATCCCTAGAGAACTTGGCAGTTCCAGGAGGGTGGCAGGGAGCTGGGCACACGGGGCAGCCCCCTGAACGCTAGTCCTCGTTGCTCTGCGATGGGGAACAGGGAACAGTCTCACTCGAGCGAAGTGAGGCCCAAGGGTCTAGGTAGTGCAGGCCCTTGGTATCCACTCCCCACCCCCACCCCACCCCCACCCCCACCCCCAGTCCATCTGGTATCTGGCGTGTTTCTCTCAATGGGCCATCACTGGGGGCTGGGGGGCGGGGGAAGGAAGGGAGGTATCCAAGATCCCAGGCTAAATAAAGTCGGCAGAACTGAGTGGGGGAGCTGGTTTGCTCCCGTCCTAGCTGCCTGACCTCGGCTCTGTCATCTGTCGTCTGTCGTGGGGGGGTGATCGTGGTACCCCGCTGAAAGGGCTGTAGCAAGGATCTGAGGTGATGCCTGTCCAGGGTTTACCTAGAGCCTCATCGAACCAGCTGGTATTAGGAGGATTGGGCCGAGCCATCTGGGATCTCAGCTCCAGTTCACCCTGCCCTGCACCCACCCACCTCCTGCAAATGCCCCTCTTGCAGACTGTGTAGCCCTTCTGGCCATTCCCATCTGGCTTCCCTGCTTGCTTTTCTCCTTCTCTAAACTATCGTTCACTTCACTTATCCTCATTGTCTGCCTCCCATTCTTAAAGTCCCTCCAGCGTAGGGAGTCTTGTCTATTTTGTTCAATGCTGTGTATCCAGCCCAGCACCCTGCAGGTGTCTGGCACCTGGTAGGCACTGCGGCATAAATGAATGAACGAATGAATGAACGCCTGGAGTGCTCTGCACCTCCTTGGCTAGAAGCTTCTGTGTTCGCTCCCACAGCTCTGCCCGACAGTGGGCCCTCAGCCTCGCCCTGCCCACCGCCCCCGCACCTGCTCACGACATTCCCTCTTCCCACCCTCTGCCCAGGGTCCCACCCCTCCGCCCACCTGCCCTCCTCCTCTCCAAAGCCGGCCTTCTTTTCTTTTCTATAAATTTATTTATGTATTTATTTATTTTTGTCTGCATTGGGTCTTCGTTGCTGCACATGGGCTTTCTCTAGTTGCGGCGAGCCGGGGGCTACTGTTCGTTGCGGTGCGTGGACTTCTCATCGCAGTGGCTTCTCTTGTTGCAGAGCACGGGCTCTAGGCGCGCAGGCTCAGTAGTTGTGGCGCATGGGCTCAGTTGCTCCGCAGCACACGGGATCTTCCGGGACCAGGGCTCGAACCCGCATCCCCTGCATTCTTAACCACTGCGCCACCAGGGAAGCCCCCCGCCTTCTTTTCGAACCTCCCCTCCCCCAGGAGGTCGAGCCCTCAGCAGCCTTGGCTTCTTTCAGGGTGCACATCACGCCTGCTTTTACCTGTCTTGATTGCTGTGTTTCTGGCACCCGCTTACCTTTTGCAGCAAGGTGTGGGCCTCGCTCTCCTTGCCCTAGGCCAGATCCTGGTAAGCCTGCCTCCATGCGAGGTAACAGAAAACCGCTGCACCCCAGGTCGACTCATTTCTGCCTCCAGGATGGGACTGGGGGGCCTTGGCTGGCTGTGGCACATGTTCAACAAACAGCGGGTCCCACAGCGTCCCCACAGCCCGGCTCCCCTCTCAGCTTGTGCTGAATGGGGCGGAGGTTGAGTAGGAGGAGGCCACTGCCCTGCGTGGCCCTGGACCAGGCCTGTCCCCAGTGGAGCTGCGCTGCTCTGTTGGCAAACACAGGCTACGGCTCCCAGGGGTGGCCTCAGGACGCTGCCGCTAGAGCTGCTCCATTCAGTTTGCAGTAGACCCACCTGGGCTGGTGGGGCACGATTGTTGGGCCCCCTCCTGGCATGGTTCCTTTTTTTTTTTTCGGCCGTGCCTCACAGCTTGCGGGACCTTAGCTCCCCGACCAGGGATTGAACCCGCGCCCTCAGTGGTGAAAGCTCAGACCGCCAGGGAATTCCCTGGCGCGGCTCCTTTATGGCAGCGGGGCTGCGTTTAGCTCCCAGCCCAGGACTGCGGCTCCCAGCTCCAGCTCCCCAGCCCTCCCTCCTGTCGTGTCGTGGAGGCCACCTGGTGGTCTGTTCGCCTTTCATCCCCCTGATGCCGTCTCCTCTTACCACAGAGACTCCCTCATTCCGGTCCTGCTGTGTGAGGACGCTGAGGGAGACCCATTAGAAACAAGCCTCCTCTCCAGCTGGGAGCTGGCAGGAAGCCTGGCTGTGTTCTCCGCACCCCCCACCCCAGTGTTCCGGCCCCTTCCACTTGCAGCATCCCACTGGGGCCCCACCTCAGCGCAGCCTCCTCTGACTGACGCGGGGCATGTCCAAGCCTGGGCTCCATGTGTGCCAGGGCCTCGTGGTGCAGGGACAGCCGGCTGTGGCACCTTCAAGGATGCTGGTTAGACACCAGGAAACCCAGGACCTAGTGTGTCTCTGGCACAAGCTTGCTGTGACCCCCTGGGCCTCAGTTTCCCCCGGAAGTTAAGGGGAGTTGATCTACTGAGCTTCCTTCCAGCCTAAACGTTCCATAAATCCGTGACCTGGAGCATTTTGCACGTGCCCAGCAGAACTGTGATGTCATGGAGGGCAGAAGCCACTGCCTTTCTCTGCTCAGAGGAGATTCTGGACACGTCGTGCACCTCCTGGATGACACTGGGACAGTTTGTGAGGCACCAAGAGACAGTACTCCCCGCAGCGTCAATGTTTCCAACCAGGGTCATCCCTGCAAACTCCACAGGAGGCAGGGAGGGGGCACCAGCGGCCAACTGAGGCCCGGAGAAACTCACGTCTACAGCTGAGGGAAGGAAGTCTTGTTTCACAGCAAAGAACGTGCCCCTGGAGGGTAAAAGGGCTTTGGGTTGGGCTTGGCTCCGTCGCGGACAGCCTGCTGGGTTCTTGAGCAAGTGCACAGCCTCCTAGGGCCTTGTTTCCTTCTCTGCAAAATGGGGATGAAAACAGTCCCTGCTCCCCAGCGTTGTGGGGAGCTGCTGAGCCCTGTGCGCCGCTGAGAGGGGCCGTGGGCATCTCACAACCCCCGAGCTGGATCCGCGGGTCTGGCCCTGGGAGCTCGACTCTCCTCTTCCTTGCACAGACTCCTCCTCGCCTGTGAATGAGCAGACAGGATGATGAATGAGGTGAAGGAATCCCTTCGAAGTGTGGAGCAGAAGTACCAGCTCTTCCAGCAGCAGCAGTTCACCTTCATTGCTGCCCTGGAGCACTGCAGGGAGAATGCCAGCGACAAGATCCGGCCCATCTCCAGCATCGGGCAGGTGGAGGCTCGCGGGCTCACGAGTGGGGCCGGGCCTCATCCCCTCACTTGAACGCTGAAAAAAAACCCAAGGCCCAGAGAGGGCCAGTGCATGTGTGCCAGAATCAGGCTCAGATCCTAACTGGTGGAATGAGCCGTTCACTCGTTCCCTCACCAAATATGTGAGTGAATGGCAAAGCGGTTGAGAAGTGGGCTCAAGACTCAGCCGGCCAGGGTTTAGGTCCCGGCTCTACCACATGCCACCTCTGTGACTTCGGGCCAGTGATTCATCTCTCTTTATACATTTCATCTGGGAAATGTATAAAGAGCAGCGCACACCTCCTAGGGCTCTTATGCGGATTTAATGAGATCATCAGCAGAACCCACTCTGTCGGCACCTGGTGGTGTCGGCCTGGGCTCAGGACAGGGATGTATGGGGAACAGATGCACACGGTCCCAGCCACTGGGTTCCACTGCGGTTTAGAAACTGCGACCTGCCACGCACATTGCTAGTCACATTTGCAGACGTTGCAGACAGGCCAGGAGAAGGGGATCACAGACCAGTTGTTCCCAGAAGCCCAGGAAGAAGTGGGATGTCTGGAGCCCGGTCCCATGGGCGTCAGTACCACTAGCGTGGTTCCCTAATTCTGAGCCCTGGGGAATCCACAACACTACCAAATTCTGGAGGAAGCTGTTTAGATACTAGGGTAAAAAGAGTCAGAGGGGCTAAACGGTGTACTTGGGAGTGATCAGAGCAGGCTTCCACAGCTCGTGATCCACGCCTTTCACACCAGGATCTCCTGGGGGCTCCTGGGCCCTAAACCCGCTCAACCACCATGTCTGGCACCGAGAGCCTGGCCTGGTGGGCGCACAGCTCTAAAACCTCCCAGGGGGGTTCTGCAGCGGGGGCAGCTTTAGAAACCCCTGCCCGAGGTCTGGGCCGCGGCACGGGAATCCCTGGGGCAGGGCTCAGCCGGCCCCTCTTGCCGCCCTGCAGGTGGCCTCCCGACGTGGCGAACTACCTCAGCTGTCACGAGGCCAGGAACCACTGTGGAGGCGTGGTCAGCCTCATCCCCATCGTCCTAGACATGATGAAAGAATGGGTCGCCCACTCGGAGAAGCTGCCCCGCAAAGCGCTGCAGCACGTGAGTGAGCCCCAGGCCACAGGTACCCAGCCTCGGCTAAGAAAAGACAAGTGGGCAACCGATACAAGACAGCCTCAAACCTATAGGGGCAAAACAGTGTTCAAAACCGCCCTGGAGACCAGCTGGTGGGAAACTGTAACTCAGCTGGTGACCTGCTTGATCCCAATCCCATCCTGTCCCATCCCGTCCCGTGGGGCACTTTGCTACTAAGCTTGGTTTCCACTAGTTGATCCATTTTCACTGGTGCCCACAGTCTTTGCCACTTATTAACCCCCAAGGGGACCGCCCCACGTATGACTGAGAACCTCTTTTCCTCTTGTGCTGTGACTTCTAACTTTTCCTCACCTCTGAGCGTCAGGCTCCGTACTGATGAAGAGGACCCTCACTTAGTGTTGCCTGTAGAGGGTGTCCCGGGGAGGCCGGGAAAGGGCTAGGGCACCGACTGTCCCGCCCAGGCCCAGCTTTCCCAGCTGAGCCGTGCAGCTGGAGGAGGCCACTCAGCTCCCTTCCCGCCGCAGCGGCAGCCATAGGCGAGACGCCACTCTCTGCAAGACAGGGCTGCTCCCGCCTCCCGGGATGCTGAGGGCAGCACGCTGAACTGCTCAGTGTGATCAGGTCTCTGGACCAAAGCCCAAAGGGGAACGAACCCACCTTGCCTCTCCTTTACTTGGGAGAGACTGAGAGAAGCCGGAAGAATTGATTTTGTGGTTCCCGTCCGAGGACAGTTACCTGGTTTTCACAACATAATTGAGGCCCAGACATTGTAAAATGCGTCACTGGCTTCCGAGCTTGCCAGAAGTACTGTCAGACTGTTGGTTTTTGCCTCTTCACAGGGGGCGACTTAGCTTCTGTATTCTTGCTTCCTAGGAGGCGACAGTCAAGAATAAAAAGCGTTCTGCCACCTCTTTGCCTGGCCTGGTTTCCTGGGATTTATCCCTTAAAGAAAACGACATTCACCCTAAGACCCCAGAAGATGCTGGGCAGTAGCCCCACGAGCAAAACCACTAGCAAAGCGCTACCACTGTGGAGGGGAACACACCCCGCTCCAAAGGGGGTCTGCTGTGAAGAGGTTTCTGCCAAAGGCCCACAGAAGGCCAGCCCAGTAACTCCTTGTATAGTTAGAGACCTACTCAGACAAGAACATCTGAATTTTCCAGACAAAACTTACAACTGCCACCTCGATGTCCTGTCCCGAAGGAGCTGATCCCGCTGTTAAATGGGCAGAGCTGACCAATTTCCAGGGCAGCTGGGCAAGCGAGCAGTGGAAAACCACACTGCAGACGTAGCTCTTCACCACTGGTCCTTTCCCAGTAAGGCCAGGGTGGATCTTGCAGTCGTTTGAAGGTAGTTTCCCTCCTTCCTCCAAACACCTGATGGCGTAGGGAAGGTGGTGGACGCGAGCTGCACTCCCTCTTCAGCACGCTCGTAAGACACAATCGGCAAGGCTCAGGGTCTGTAAGCGTTTGACAACTTCGGTGCCACCTGCGCTCCTCCAAAAGGGCTGTATTAAACCCGATGTGCCGGCCAACCCCCAGGAAGGCAAGCACACACCAAAAGCAAGGCTGGATGGCTGTGCAGACCCGGCCCGCCACCTGGTTTTGATAGCTTCTGGTAGAGATGGCTCCAGTCACCTCCCCCCACACCACCATGACACTTGGTGGGAAGAGCGTGAATTTGAGGCAGATACAGGTAGGATTTGTGGCTCTTTGCCAGAACAAAAGGATCTTACAGGGACTAAAGCCAGATTCCACTTGTCAGCACCCGCTCCAGCCACCCAAGGTCACCAACCAATCCAGACCCTGAGGCTTTCCATCTTTGGACAAGTTCCTACTTTGCCTGTAAGCCCCTCAGAGGCCAACGTGAGTCACCTCGTGTCAATGCAGCAAAGTAGTGCAAAACAGTAAATTTTTATTTGTTCACAGTTAAACACGAGCAACTGCCTTGACACTCTAGAACATTCTAAGAAGGACAGCAAACCCTTTTGATTCCAATTCCCATTCACTAAGATTGTACCATTTCCTCTTGCAGTTCGCATTTATGGCATCTGATGTGGATTGTTTGACATGCTTTTAAGATCAAGACGGGAAGGTGTAAACCTTTTGACAAGAGATGACTTCCTTAAATTTAGCTAAAAGCAGTCAGCCAAAAAAAATCTGTTTTTCAGTGATGGGACCCCTTTAAACTGCAAGTCAGCCACATATGGTTGATCCATGATTGAGTTACAAAACTAGATTATGTCTTAGCAAAATCTGTTCCTCCATAATGTATTTATGGTCCATAGACGTCTTCTGAAAAGTGATCACTGATTCTTCCTAGTGCAAAATGCCTGGCTGCCTCTTCAATAAGCCAAAGTCTCTGCCGCCAAGAGCAGCGCCGTACCCTCCTGTCCAAACACTGTATCAAGGTGGGGAGAGGGAGGAGGGGTTGGCCTGGGGGGCAAGGGTCTCCTCTAAAAGGTCTACTCCAATGGTTCAACTAGTCTACTTATCCCCGAGGATGGACAATTTTGTGGCACCGGGACGGGAAGGGGGAGAGAAAGCTCCTCTGCCTTCGTTAACTCGTTTCAAGGCCAGAAGCCGTCGTGGGCCCAGGTGCTCGACTATCGCAGGCAGGTTCCCCTTGTAGCTACAACGATCTTCTCTCAGGGCGGCACATACAGACTGCAGGACGGAGTGGAGAAGACGGAAACACCACTCCCCCGGGCACATCAGAGTCACGGACGGGGAAATGAGCCACGTGGGGACAAGGGTCACAGCAGCAGCCCGGGGGCCAGGCCCCAACCTCAATGTGTTCTTTCATCTATAAAGAAAAGCTTAATCAAGTGCAATCAATTCCTCTGTTGTGGTCTGGGGGAGGGCAAGGGCACATGTCAGAGAACTCTGGATGTAAACAGATACGCAAACATCTTCGCATACTCGTGGCTGGTCAATTTTAACGCACGTACCTCGAACAGTGAAAATGCCCAGAGTGAGACGTGCCGATTTGGGTCATTCCACGAAAGACAGCTTTCTTCCCCACGCGAGACGCACACTTCTGGGTGGGCTCGGGCTGCTCCCGGAGCCACTCTGAGGAGACGGCGGCCTCTCAGAGCATCCGCACAAGGTGGGTGGCACTCCACCTCGAGAGCAGCTCTGGACTGAGTCTTCACTCTGCCCAAACCCTCCTTAGACCTGTCCACACTTTCTAACACCTCTTACTGCTTTTGGTTAGAAAAACCGCATCTCCACGTAGTACTGTCTTTCACTTGTTCTTCAGTTATTTCTTTCTGGCTTCAAGTGGTATGTTCTAGTATTTGGTGAAAATTCACATTGACTGGTCATAGCACTTTTGTTATATTCTCTACACAGAAACACCAATTTTTTACTCTTAACCGTGAGTCTGAACATCTGTGGTCTCCACGGACCCTCTCTCATCATCATGATCATCTTATTTATCCTCTTTACAAAACTACTAGAGTTTTATCTTTCTCAACAAAAACACTGGAAACTACATGTGCTGTTGCAAATGGGGACGGCCCAGGTCTGGAGTTTTGTTTCCCACTGTCCTGGTTTTGCCCAGTGGGAAGCCGGCCTCTGTGGCCATGGTGGCACGGTGGGCTAATCTTTCCAACTGTCAGTGGCTTCCAGGACACTTCCCTGGATTGTAACAGTTTACCTTTTAAGAAGAGTTTGGACTATTTCCACCTAAACACATGACATATATTCTGGCTCACAAAGCAGCTTATCTATCACTTCTCTCTCCACTCACAGAGCCTAATAGGAACCTTCAGCAGCTTATTCCCAAAGGTTGGGCAGTTCTCCCTCCTGAAAAACCCTGCTGACAAGCCTAGGGAGGTCACATCTACCCATCCACCTTATATGGTTGGTCCCAGCACTCATCTCCAGGGAAACCTCTGACCCAAGAAATGGTCTTCATCTCCTACCTTTGGATTTCAGTTAGTTTTCTTATTCATGACCAGATATTTCTTCCAATTCCACAGTGACAAATTTCATAGACTTGTGACAGAACCATGTCAAAAGCTTTTAAAATCCGTGAAAGCTCTGTCTGATAGAGATTCATGTACTTACCTACCTGTAGTAGATTCAGGAGCCCATTCTCTCTATGGAGACCATGCTATCATCTCCCCTCCCGCCCTCCGCAACGATGCTGCAGTGCTCCCTTTTAAAACAAGGGTTCACGCTCCCAAGACTCCCAAGAAGCAGACTCCAATCTTCTCTCAGGGTCTACGCTGACCCTGGTTAGTGTCAAGTGCTGAGCGGAACAGGTTATGGACACTTTTGGCCAAACAGCTCTGAAGCGGAGGCAAGCCTGCTCCAAGCGACTCCGGTGGAGGTTAACCCTAACGTCTGTGAATACAGGCTCTGCCTTGAATGTGACTGTTCTACTGCCTTTGCCCTGCCTGTTCCCAGGCCTGAATTCTCTCTCGGGAGTTCCTCTACCACTATCACCTTTCCATCCTTAAAAATACTCACTGCAGCATAATCGACTGACCCGCTGACTCTTGGCAAGTCTATCATTTTCAAAACCAAACCAAACTTTACTATCGATTTACTATCGACTCAAGTCCTCTGCAATATAAAAGCCTAAATGTTCAGGCTGGGTAACTTCAGCATGACTCCAGGCCTCCATCCCCCAGCCGTGGCTGAATAAAATCCATGGCCTCCTAGAGCCCAGAGGAAGCTGTGTGCAGCTGCTGGGGTCGGCCACGGTTATGAAGCTGAGCAAACGCATGCCCCGGCGGGAGGAGTATGCCAAGGGCCTGCAGCCCGGGGCCCCAGTCCACTGTACCACGCCGCCTCCTTCGTCCCTGTATTTTTACAATCTGTCCATTAAACAAATGTTCTCCTTTCTTTACAGTGGCCTCCTTGCTTTTGCAGTTAGGGTAAAGGCTTTGATTTAAGTGCCTGGTACCTTTGTTCTGTGGCACAGATCTCCTGGGCTTGGGGGGGGATAAGCATTTAGAAACAGTTTTAATAGTTACCTTGTAACTTTTCTTTTCCTGGATTTGTTCACGTTTTCCTTTTCTAAATAAAACTGTAATAGGAAACCAGAACGTATTGGATTTTAAGCTTTCCTTTGGAAAAAGCTGAATTAAACATCCATGGTGTCATTAATACTCCACATCAGGCATCCAGCGGCAATTGCTGGCCCCGCGCTGGGCTGGAGCAGTCGGGCACACACCCTTCCTCAAGCAGGGATCCATCAGTCACACCCAGAAATCCTGTCCCAAGGAGGTGGTCTGCCAGTACAGCCATGGTGACGTGGAGCCTCATTCTCTAGCTCCCTTTGGTTATTTAGGAGGCTAGAATATTTATTGCCACACTTTAAAAAACAGACTTTAACCCTCATGTGCTGGAAGCTTCCATACGCACTAAAGTTTCGTACCATTTCAGTTTGCCGTTTCCCTCTTCATGGATGAACCCTTCTACACTTTTAACTGAAAGATGAGAAAGAAAAAAGCCAAGTTCACTGGCTCTTTCCTACCAGTCTCCCCCTGCCTCAGCCTCGGCTGGATCACCAGGCAACAATTCTTAGGCTTCTAGCATTCACTTCAGGAGCACCTGCTGAGTTCAGATTCTCTGCCACGACCCATGTTCTGACTTGCGTCACCTCTCCCGAGCATGTGCAGGCAGCCCACTGGGTCCAGGCAGCCAGCTCTGTCAACCCTCTCCAGGACTCTGCTTTAATGCTCTGCCATGACCAACATGTGCAAGGGCAGCAGCATCAAGCCCCCTGCAGGGTCGGCCCCTGAAAGTCAGCATTGGTGTGAAAAAGCTGTTACCTTTTTGGTGGCCTAGAATCTACTATAGCGAGGCAACTCTCACAGCCTGAGACACGATGGTCGTAAAACTCTGAAGAAACTCTTTGGACCTTCAGAGCCTTTCTGCTGCAGCATCCCAGAGAAGCTGACGTAAACAGGAGGCACATGGGACAGGGAAGAGAGGCAAACAGCTAGCACCGCCCCGCCTGCAGGGGCAGGTCCTCATCCCCGCACTTTCCTTTTCAGGGAGCTGCTCCAGACACCATCCTCCCTCCTGCAGAGAGCACGCCTGACCACCCACACCCCAGCCTGTAATCAGAACAGTACCAGCTTTCAAGCAAACGCCACATAGGCAAGAGGTAGTGGGGCAGGGGGACAGAGCGTTCCCGAAGGGGAGCATGGTCTCCACAGTGCCAGCTCCAGACTTTTCCAACAACAGACCTTTGTTCACATGGAACTTTCTAGGAAGCTTATCAGAACCGCCAAAAGAACTTAAGAGAGAATAAACCATCGTTTTTCTGGATCTGCGGCTTTAGATGATGGATGTTAGAACCAAAAGCAGTGACAACATCTCATGTAAAAGCTCTCATGTGAAGATGATCAACTTTGCATGTCACATCCTCCTGGAAAGGGACAAAACCAGACTTACCTGTGATGCCAACAATGACCTGGGCTCACAGAGAGCCCGCCCAGCTAACTGAGCTTCAGGAAAGGAGCGGGTGGTGTGTTAGACTCCAGGATTACATTTGGCCTCATATTGCACAGGTTCAAAGGACACAACGATTTGGGGGGAAAAGGAAGAAAATAAAGCTAGTGAGGAACGCACCCTGGCCCTCGGGTTAGTACACACTGCCAGGTAAATGAAAGAGAGGGTGGCCGAAGGGAAACCGAAGAGGCATTTCAATGCCAGATGCAAAAACCGTTCTGCATTCAGTCAACCGTCAAAGGACCCCCATCCCATTTCCTCTGCGGGAGCTATAGCCCCTCAACGCCTGGAAACAGGAAAGCTCTGAAACGGGCACTCGCGCCTCCCGTTCCAGGCCGGCGATACACAAGTTAACACTGATTGACACCGTCCCTAGCTGTGCTCGTGCTGCGCCTCATTGTAGTCCATGATACGGAGCTGTCCCACGCTGTCTGGCTTTGGGGGAGGTGGCTGCGGGCCGTCTAGGTTCAGGGGTGGCTTGGCTTCCACACCCGAGTCTTTGCCCAGCTCTGTCTTTAGGGTCTCAGAAAGGCTACTGCTGGTCAGGCTGTCCTCATCGCACTGGCTCTCACTCTTATTACGAAATAGCTCTCGAGCCTTCATGCCCAGGAAGCTTTTTGAACTAGGAAGTGAGCCGACAGTCATAGGGATGCCCGTAGTGGGCTCTCCCACGGCAGTCTCCCACCGACTGCTGCATGGGCC